GGCATCGCTCGGCGGGCGGGGGGGGGGTACGGAGGGAGGGACCGGGGACCGGTACCCGGTGCAGAATGACCGGTGCTCCGTATCCGGTAGAGGTTGCCCGGTGCCCCGGGTTCGGTGCAGGTTGCCCGGTATTCGGTCCAGGTTGCCCCCGGTGCCCAGTACCGGTTGCCCCGGTGCCCTGTGCCGGTTGCCCCGGTGCCCGGTACTCGGTGCGGGTTGCCCCGCTGCCCAGTGCCGGTTGCCCCGGTGCCCTGAGCCGGTTGCCCTGCATCCGGTGCAGGTTGCCCGGTCCCCAGTGCCCCATGCCCTGTATCCTGTGCAGGTTGCCCCGGTGCCCAGTGCCAGTTGCCCCGGTGGCCGGTGCCAGTTGCCCCAGTGCCCTGTGACAATTGCCCCGGTCCCCCGTGGCCAGTGCAGGTTGCCCGCTGCCCAGTGCCGGTTGCCCCGGTGCCCTGTGCAGGTTGCCCCGTATCCGGTCCCCTGTGCCCAGTCCCCTGTGCCCGCTGCCCAGTGCCGGTTGCCCCGGTGCCCTGTGCAGGTTGCCCCGTATCCGGTCCCCTGTGCCCAGTCCCCTGTGCCCGCTGCCCAGTGCCGGTTGCCCCGGTGCCCTGTGCAGGTTGCCCCGTATCCGGTCCCCTGTGCCCAGTCCCCTGTGCCCGCTGCCCAGTGCCGGTTGCCCCGGTGCCCTGTGCAGGTTGCCCCGTATCCGGTCCCCTGTGCCCAGTCCCCTGTGCCCGCTGCCCAGTGCCGGTTGCCCCGGTGCCCTGTGCAGGTTGCCCCGTATCCGGTCCCCTGTGCCCAGTCCCCTGTGCCCGCTGCCCAGTGCCGGTTGCCCCGGTGCCCTGTGCAGGTTGCCCCGTATCCGGTCCCCTGTGCCCAGTCCCCTGTGCCCGCTGCCCAGTGCCGGTTGCCCCGGTGCCCTGTGCAGGTTGCCCCGTATCCGGTCCCCTGTGCCCAGTCCCCTGTGCCCGCTGCCCAGTGCCGGTTGCCCCGGTAGCCGGTGCCGGTTGCCCCGCTGCCCTGTGCCCTGTGCAGGTTGCCCCGGTGGCCGGTGCAGGTTGCCCCGTACCCGGTCCCCTGTGCCCGGTGCCGGTTGCCCCGGTGCCCAGTGCCCCATGCCCGGTGCCCTGTGCAGGTTGCCCCGCTACCCAGTGCCGGTTGCCCCGGTGCTCTGTGCAGGTTGCCCCGGTCCCCTGTGTTGGTTGCCCCGTATCCGGTCCCCTGTGCCCGCTGCCCAGTGCCGGTTGCCCCGGTGCTCTGTGCAGGTTGCCCCGGTCCCCTGTGTTGGTTGCCCCGTATCCGGTCCCCTGTGCCCGCTGCCCAGTGCCGGTTGCCCCGGTGCCCAGTGCCGGTTGCCCCGGTGGCCGGTGCCGGTTGCCCCGGTGGCCGGTCCCCTGTGCCAGGTCCCCTGTGCCCGCTGCCCAGTGCCGGTTGCCCCGGTCCCCTGTGCCAGTTGCCCTGTGCCCAGTGCCGGTTGCCCCGGTGCCCTGTGCCCAGTGCCGGTTGCCCTGGTAGCCGGTGCAGGTTGCCCAGCTGCCCAGTGCGGGTTGCCCAGTGCCCTGTGCCGGTTGCCCCGGTGCCCAGTGCCGGTTGCCCCGGTCCCCTGTGTTGGTTGCCCCGTGCCCGGTCCCCTGTGCCCGGTCCCTTGTGCCCGGTGCAGGTTGCCCCGCTGCCCAGTGCCGGTTGCCCCGGTGCCCAGTGCCCAGTGCTGATTGCCCCGGCACCCAGTACAGGTTGCCCGGTGCCCAGTGCAGGTTGCCCAGTGCCCTGTGCCGGTTGCCCCGGTACCCAGTGCCGGTTGCCCCGGTGCCTTGTACCGGTTGCCCCGGTGCCCAGTGCATGTTGCCCCGCTGCCCTGTGCTCGGTGCCGGTTGCCCCGGTGCCTTGTACCCGTTGCCCGGTGCCTTGTACCGGTTGCCCTTGCCCCCTGTACCCCATATACCGGGTGCACGTTCCCCGTTTCCCCCCCCCTGTTGCTCCCCGTTGCCCGGTTCGGGCGGGCTCGCGAGCGACCGAAGCGGCCCCGCTTCCTGCTTTCTAATGTTCCATTGTGCGGAGCTTCCATTGTGACGTCTGGGCCTCGGCTCGGCTTTGTCTGTCCATATATGGGCAGCTACGTCACGGGAGCGCTCCCGCCGCCCGGATAAATGGGCTGCGGAGTCCCCGGCGGAGCAGTCGGGCGGCAGCGAAGGGAACCTGCGAGCGGAGCCGAGAGCGCGGGGAGGGAAAC